TGTAGTAAACTGTTGGATTTGGGAGTTGTGGGGGAAGGGGGTAGGTTGTTCATAGTTGGACGAGGAGATTGATGGAGAACTTGGATGAGTCTGTTTCTCCTTCTCAGTGAGTATGGAACTCTTGGAAAATTGAGGCTGTCTGGGACTTATAGGGGAGTTTATACTGCTTACACACTTAATTGGATGTGAGAAAGTAGATAACTTTATAGAATTAGGATCTATGTGCATGGGAATGGGGTGGGGAAGCGTAAGGGATTCATATGAAGATTTAGTAGAAGCCACGTTTTTTAGGGTAGTGTCCATTTGTTCAAATTCTACTAAGGGAGTGGACATGTGTTGTGGTAACGCATTTGGGCTGGATGTTGTATCACCCAATGGGTATGTATGAATGGTGGAGTGGTATGGAAGAGCCTCGATTATTGGTTGGTTTTGGGGATGGATTGTATTAGACGATTGATCTTTTTTAGGATTATTGCCTATTAGTTGATTATTGCTAATTGTAGGCTTAGCTAATGATTGAGACGTGAAGGAGGTGGGTTATCAGTTTCTTCCACGTGTAAGTTAGATGGGGTGGTAGAGCACAACTTACCCTTCATGCATTGGTCAGATTTTTCTTCCAAAACCATTAGGTCCTGGTTATCAATGGTATCTGTGGTCGTTAATAATAAAGAGTGGAATTTATTATTAGTGGGAATGTGGTTATCTTTGTTAATAATGGAAGAAGAACTATTGATACTTTTTAATTCTAAAGATTTATCATAAGTATCTTTCTCTACAAACTGTAATTTTTGGTTTTGAAGGAACTTACTTGTGTCTACATTGAAGATCTTTACATTAATACCTTGTGTTTCTGAGTCATTAAGAGCATTTGGTTTAGATCGTGTGCCTCTGCTTTTGGGCCTGCTGAACGATACTGTCTCCCAAGTTTCATCGCATGGATGTTGATGGTTTTTCTGGGGACTCTGCAATTCCTTATCTCTTGGAACTGTTGCTGACTTGGAGTGAGGACAGCGTGGGCTAATATGACCAAGTCTACCACATTTTTTGCAAAGAAAGTTCTCTTCTTCATAATGGATGAAATGTTTGTGTGACCCAATAAATATAAAAGATTTAACTGGTTGTTTCATGGAGATTTTCACACATATTCTAGCACAGCGGCCTCTTAGGGTAGTCGAAGTACATGCATCGACTCTTAGCAATCTTCCAATGGTGTTCCCAATTTTCCTAAGGATCACTCCATCATAAAACTCAATTGGAAGGTGTGGGAGGCGAACCCAGATAACAGTGTTGAGGGGCTTTGCTTCTGATGCCACAAAGTTTGGCACCCACCTTTAAACTGAAAGTAAATGTCCATTGATGAACCATGGACCTTGGTGCAGGACTCTAGCTAGGTTTTCTTCCTTTGTGAATTTAGCAACGTAGTGATCTGCAACCAGATCAATAAGGGGAAGTTTTCAGCTATCTTCCATTGTTCTTGGACTTTCTTCCTTAGGTAGTGGTGCATAATACGCTTCCCTAAGAGCTTTATAATTACTGAGTGTTTCCAAGGATCGTAAATACGCTACATATCCTGAGATGATAGATTAACCTTATAGCTTTCATTTAATGTGTCCATGACACTCGGAGTGTAGTCTTTGGTGTAATCCATAGGCTCTGAAGACTGCTCTACTTGATTTTCAAGGAGTGGAGTGATGTGTATAGTAGAATCATTGAGTAGTTTATCTTTAAAGGAAGGGGGTTTCTGAAGAATGGGTACACTATTGTCCCTGGGAGCACCATTGATGGCGTTAGATGTTGCTATATCTGGTGGTTTTGGGGATATTGAAAGTGGTTTGGGAAGAATTGGTAGTGGGGTCTACTGTCATTGGAAAGGATGGCTACACCTCTAACGAGATGGATGAAATTAGGGGTGTCAATGGATATTTAAAAACCGACTAAACCGATCGAACCATACTGTACTGAACCGATTTCTAGGTTTCTTTTAATAAAATTGTAGGTTTTTATATAAATATATAACTGAACCGATAATTAGGGTAGGTTTTTTATTTTATAAAAATAAACCGAAAAAATACCGAACCGAACCGAATAAATTTACAATGTGAAAAATATATTTATATCTTATGTTTAAAAATGATAAAGCATAAAAAATTTTCAAGACCTTGGAATTATGAAATAGTTACAAGCCAACAAGTAATTAAACTTAAAATCCTAATTCCCAAATCTATTATGCTACTCCTATTGAAACCAGAGGCGGATCCAGGATTTGAGGCTTATAGGTTCCTACCGTAATTTCAAATTAATATGCAATAATAACTGGGTTCATAGTTAGATATTTATAATTATTTAGTGAATTTTTTAATATAATACAGGGTTTACGCAAGAGTTACTGGATTCCCGGGAACCCGTATTCCATGCTTTAGGTCCGCCCCTGATTGAAACTAAATTATTTCCAGCATATTCACTAGCAAAACACAAGGTATTGTAGCGATTATGAGTAGAAAACTACAATGTATTGAATATGTTTCCTTTCGTATTTAGATTTATCTTTTTGAATATTTAATCTTCTATAGACTTTATTCTTGAGACCTAGCTTGGTTAATATCATTCCACTCGTGTGATTTATATTTTTTTGTATTTGCTTAGTTTTTTTTAAACTGATGTAGGATAGTTGATGGATCTATACTCTAGCCATCTTTGATATTTTCTTAATTTATCACCTTTTAAACTATAAAAATATCTAGAAAGTTTTGCTAAGTTCTATAAAAGTACGTATGTTATTGCATTCTACTTCTAGCAGTGATTTTTACATGACATTTAAAAAAATTACTGAATATTTACCGAACCGTACCGATACCGAAGAAAACCGACATGATTGGAATGATTTCGAAAAGTCTAATTTTGGTTATACATAATAGAATAACCGAAAAATTGGTATGATACAAATTTTATAAAATAATCGGCCGAACCGAACCATTGCCCCAGATAAAATACTTTAGATATGATGAGGTTAACTGGATACACACAAATATTGGATACACACAAATATCTAGGACTTACCATAAATAATACATTTGAAAAGTCTTTATTTTCTGTCTAGACAACACGTCACATAAAATGAGAGAGTAATATCTCCTTAATAACCTTTCCTTTACTTTATACTTCCGTCTACTCCCGAGTTCAACCAAACAAATTGATTAACCTTTCTTTTTAAGCAAAAAACATTCACGAGACAGTCAATAGTAAAGATAACGTAGTAGTATAATTTTGTTACAAATTCTAAGCCAGTTAATGAGTTGGGTTTGTTCTTTCTTCTACGTATTAGTTTGTTAAACAAAAGTTTCCACAAAAGAAAAAAAAAAGAAAAAGATACTATTATAATTTGTAGTACTACTTATTTTATTTTATTTGATAGCTTTGAAAGACAATTCCTAGTCCAACAAATTGACTCTTGTACATTACACTGGACAAGGACGGATTTCTTTTCCGAAAGGTCATCATGGTTTGCGTCATTTTTCCTTCTTCCTTTCCATTTTCTTTCTTTCTTTGGTGACACATTAGTAATATTATGTATGGACAGGTAAGTCAAATATATGCAATGCAAAGTATCATAATAGTTTTTTTTTAATGTTTTTTTATTTTCTCTCCTTGTTAAAATATAAGCTTTTGTACCAAGTTAGTATCCAACAGATGATGTCATTAAAGATTAAATGTAGATGCTAATATTAAGTAATTTCCAAGAGAAAAATATGTTACTACTCTTTTTTGGACAAACTAAAAAGGAGGTTGTCATGTAAAATAGGATTGGTTGAGTATTTTTTTTTTCCCATTCAATCTCTTTTACTTTGTAAAATGTTTGCCTTCCCCTTGGAATGAGATACTCTGGGACCACTATATGATAATAAACCAGCAAAAAGCATTAACACTGCAAAAAGTGACGCCTCAACTGATGTACAGTAGAGTTGTAACTCACAAGTTATAGCAGATGATTGCCAAAGTGGAAAAAAAAAAGCTACATAAAATCAATTTCATCCTTTAGATGCATCACATTTCAGATCTGATAAAATAGGATAACATTCATCAAAAAGCATATACATTTCAGATCTGATGAAATAGGATAAACAAAACATGGGAACTTGAGAACTTCAATCGGTTCATCAAATCTATAACCTGCTAAAGAGATTCGCTTTGAACTTGTTAGAAAGCCTGCATCACATACCCTTTAAGTAGCTATAGTGGACATCAAGCTACTTGTAAACAGTCGCGGCCACATATGCACACCAATTCAACCATCAATTTTCACAAGCTGAAGTAAAGTAAAAGGAAAATGGAGACATAATGGCATGGAGATAGTCACTGAATAAGGCTACAGAAATATAAGGCCTCGCCAACCTCCTGCCACAGCCAGGTAATGTTGCTAGCTGAATCCATAATGATCATGTAACCCGTCACATAATAAGAATGGGGAAGGTCTAACAGATAATCCTTCCACAGCCAAGTAAAGTGTGCAGCCACTTAATGAGACAGAGAGGGCTGGAGAGAAGAAATTCTTGCAAATAAGATATAATGCTCAAACCTATTGTATACAACTCTTATCCATGACAAGCCTCGTTACTCTCCTTATGGACAAGTTTGCCCAATACCATCATCATATCGCCACCAAAATGGACTTCTCCAACTCTTAGTCACACTCAAACTCACAACTGAGTCTGTCTTAACACATTTAGCCATTTAGGCTTCAAGGTCAAAACCTAAAAGTCCATAAGACCATTTTGTGCCTTCAAACACCATGCCCATGTAAGATTGCTCATAACAGGCAACATACACTCTCGTCTACATCCCTCAGTGACAGAAAACAGCACCAAACCACGGCACAAGCCAAAAATGACCACCAATTTCTAAATAATAGTCAAACTAGCCAAATGCACTACTAAAAGGAACACCACCAATAATAAACACAAGAAACAATATGAATTTCCAATTATAGATCAAGAAAACGGAGATCAGCTATCGACAGGATTTCATCTTCAATTGCTATTTAGAACACAAGAAACCATGGTATGAAAGAGCAAAGAGGTTCAACTGTCTCCTTCAACTGACAAAGACAGAAAACATAGTCACATATTTACTAATATATAAGTTGTTTATAGCATCTACTAAGATATTGCAAATGTATCAGCAGCATATTGACGCTTAACAGACTCAAATTCACTCAAAAGCCCAAGCATTCTCCCTCCTAACTTCTTCCTCTTCCTCCGGAGTGAAGTCATTCTTAATGTTGAATGTCTTACGGATCTCCTCAGGGGTCTTCCCTTTGATCATGTCTGCAACTGTCTGACATGTCAGATCAAGCAAGCTCTTTATGTTCAAATAGTTGGCAGCCTGTAAAAAGATAAGAACAAACAATTTACTGCAACTGCAATGTATACTTAACCTCTAAAAGCTCTCAACAAAAAAGGTAATACTCAAATCTGTATACAGGAAAGTTGAGAGAACTAGATATTAGAAGGGAGGCTCCTTGTAAGACATCAACTAGCAACTCAACACGTTAAAGAAATTGTCAGCGACTCAACAGTCAACAGGCTTCAAAAGCCAAGACAAAAAACTTAAATCTTAATTTTTTTAATGTACTATATTGTAGGTTATGTATCATTCACATTATCAATTGTAGTTTTTATTCTATGAGGGGAATGGTAAACCGGCCATGTAACCAAACTGTGCTGCAGGAATGTCCAGGCTACTTGTTTCCTAAAAAAAAGGGACACTAAGTATGACTACAAGTTCTACAGGTAAAATATATGCTTCATTCTAACTTTACACATACAAGCATGTCTTCTTACCCAATTGATTTAGAATGAGCAATGGAAATTGTTCACTATAATAATATACTTTGAACTAAGCAAATAAAAAGTTCAGCACTTGATCATGACAAAAAGGAGAAGCAAACTATCGGAAATAAGATACTATTAAAAGAAGCAGTCAAAAATTTACTTCATTACTTCAAACGCCATAACACCCAAAAACCAACTGCAGTTTGTTGTATAACACATTAGAGTGACTGTGTATTGAAATGTCATGGACCTGAATAAGGCAAAATGATATTGAAGACCTTGCCTGGTTTGGGATTGAAGCATAGTTGATTGATTAGTTCATTCAACATAAGCTAATAATGAAGCTTATACATGTGCATACTAGAGTAGAAGCTCAGCCTATGGAAATTCAAGCAGTAAATAAATGCCAAGAACACGGGCAATGGAAGCCAAAAGTAGAAGGTGCAATGATAATAGGCTACATAGACAATACTTACACCCTAATTATACCATGCTTTATTGTTGTTTTATAGGCTAAATGATAACAAAATGCTCTAATTGGTGTTCTTTTGGTTCGCAGGGACTAATCCAAGTTAGGAAGAGCTATGGAGTGTTTTGGAGTCAATAATGTAAAGAAAACGTCCAATCAAGAAGCACCAGAGTGGAAAGAAGCAAAAAGTGGACTGGGTTTGAATCCACCGCGACCGCGGTTGGACCGCGGCCGCGGTGAACTATGCAGTTGCTAGAAATTCTGGGACCAAAGTGTAACTCGGGGAAGACTTATTCCAAACCCTTATAAATTCAAAAAGCTCGCCCAAGAAAGTATCAAGCTTGTTTTTAGATTACTTTGAAGACAAGAACAAGTTTGAGAAGATCAACCAAACATTAGAGTTTTTTTATCTTCTCTTTATTATTGCAATTACACATTATGAACAATTTCGTAGTTTTATCTTGCTTTGTTATGAGTAGCTAAACATTTGATCTAGGGTTGATGGAACCAATTGTTGGATGAAGTTTTGACTCAACTTTGTTATAATCGAGCCGGGTTTATTATATGATTGTTCAACTATGTTTTGTATGGTGATTAATTGAATAGGCCCTTGATTAATCGTGTCTAATTGCCTTGTGTTGCTTGAGAAAGAATACTAGGTTAGACTGCTGAACACCACTTTTGAGTAATTGAAGAGATTCATTACTTGAACTAAAAAATGGGGTTAGAGATAACGAAGCTTTGGTGGGATAATTCAGAGCTGCACAAATTATCAGGTAGAGTAGTTCGAGAGAATGCTCTAGTAAATTATCATAGTTGATCGAAAGATAACTACGATAACCCATAGCTTATAATCCTCATAGAGTATTACGGCGAGATTATAGCAAAAGAGTTAAAGCCTAAACTAGCAATTGGGGAAATCAATACCCTAGACCTTTTTACCATTGAATTATCTTTGATTTAGCATATTGTTATATTTAATATCATTTGAAGTAGTTAAACAAAAACCCAATCTTTATTGATAAAAATTTTGTATCTGAAAATTGTTTGAGTTGATAATAGCATTGCCAAGAGCTGTAATAGATAGGTTAGTTCCTTGAGGATTCGACTCCGGACTTAAAACCGGATTATATTTGCAACGACCGCTTTGTCTTTCAGAAGGCATAGTTGGGCGTGATCATGCAACAACAACAACAAATATGGCTCTGTCCAAACAACTTGAGGTCGACTACATGAACCCTCACTAAACATCTTACTCCATTTAAATCATCTCATGCCAATATTTATGCAAATACTGAAGGTACATTAACAACTCTTATAAATCCACACATAAACAAAAATACCAAAATATTAACAAAGCCGATGACAAAAAACTAATAATAATAGTTTACACAACTACCAATCCACAAGGCCCAAACAAAAAATCAGGGAAACAATCAAAGCCAAATAACACTCCATCAGTTCTCATTTATATGGAACTACTACTAGAAGAGCCACATAGTTTCTCTTTAGCTAAAACTTTTTCATGGATTTAATCTATATATACTGACAGTATTAAAGTTTTTTTCACACCATCAGTGACTTTTAACCTATTGATAGCAGTTTTGCTACTAGTTACCAATTTTATCAGATTACTAATTAATGTTTACCAAGAGATTTACATGTAATTACCTAATAAGTGACCATCAATGCGTAGAACTTAAACTCTCTCTTCATACATATCTAAAATGACTCATAAGTGCCTATTCAATGATTTAACGGTCTTACTCAGAACCCTAGATGAATTAAGTAAGATACACATAATAATCTTCACGAAGTTCAAAAATTAGTCTCAACAGCAGTATCAAAATAAAGAGATACAGACCAGGATGAGATCGAAGAGGGTACTCTGGTCAACTTTGACAAAGTCAGCATCGAAAGCCTTGAGATCGTCCTCGACGGCCTTATCTTCCGTCTTAGAGGCGGCGTCCACGTGGCGCTTGCAGTACTCAATCACCTTAGCTAAGATCTTGCTCGTCACGTTAGGTAAAGGGATGCTGGTGTCGGCGCAGTCGTCTTCGATCATATGCTTGATTGTCTGCGACTCTAGGGCAACTGACTCTTCTACCTCGAAGGTTTCGCCGTCGGAACTCCTCAATACGATCATCTTCATTTTGGAGGAAAGAGGAATTGTGAATTGCTGACCAGATTAACAAACCCTAACACCGAGACGAAGCGAAGAGAGCCGAGAGAAAGAGAAAGCTAGAGCAAAAGATAGGGGCACCAATTTATAGTATAAGGTTTGCGGGTCAGGGTAAGATCCGTGAGTAATTGAGAAATGGGAAAATTATAAAATTGGGATTTGGGAAGCCTTTTGGAGGGGATTAAAATGTTATTTCCCAATCCCAATTCCCAAGTGATAAGCGTCAACTTGCAAACCACTTAAGAAAAATATGGGTATGCAAAAAGAATTTTAATATATGTATATTCATGTAATAAATTCCACATATTTCAAACCTACTGACTCAAAATATGTACTGACTTTACTAAATTATTTTTTATAATAAAAAAATTGTTCAAAATTATTTAAGCGTCACAAAAATTTACTAGACTAACTTTTGTAATAAAACGCCAGCGAAAAAGGCAGCCCGATGCACAAAGCATCTCACACCATCGATATGTAAACAGCCTACCTAATGCTAGCAGTAGTAGCTGATTTCACGGCAACTTTACCTTTGCTTCAAAACTCTCCTTCAACCAAAAAAAATGCCAGTCAATATTGCCTAAATATCACATAAAATCACTACATTATTGAACCCACAACTTCTATAGTTTGTAACCAAAAAGTTGCAATAGAATTAAGGCAGAACTTGCACAATATACTATAAATTCAAATTGGACCATGCCCAGCTCCATTAATCAGTTTGTGAAGGGTAAAACCCTTAGTGAGGAAAATTGTTATTCTTACATGGAAATAGGACCAAATATAATTCTATAAATTCGCCATATAACTATTGGAAGATGTTTCGTTAAATGCGAAGGTGATAACGTAGAGCCAGTTTTTGGAGGTTTCACAAACTCTCATCTCCAACATAGATCAACAGTCCAATGATTCAATTGCATTTATATCCGAGAAATTTGTACAGGTCATTTTCTTCTATTCAAATTATAAGTGGTCATAGGAGATCTCTTTCTCATTTGAGCAATTGATTTTGTGGCGCTTTACAAATTTCTTTTAGTTTTATGTCAATTTTTTTAATGAATCATTATTTTTACATATAATCTTCTTAAATTATCATTCAAGTTGGTGATAATTTGTTTTGCATCTCTTGGGCTTCAATACGTTACCTCTTCATTGTTCTTGTTCAAGGGGAAATGGACGTATGCGCAAACACTGTTGGATTGGGTCGAATTTAAAGCCCACTTACCCTTCCACTCCATTATACTGTTTCTTTTCAAACTTCAAAACAAAGAGATTAAAATGAAGCTTTTATCCTAATATTACTTTATTCCATAGGTAAATTGTCAGTTTGAGTAAATATAGGTCTAGGTCACTACTACACCACGTTGTTATAGTATTATTTATTCCTTCTTTTCCAAAGAAAATAGTAGTAATAGGTTTCGAAGCAGGACCATCGATACATCCAACTTTTTCGGTGATTGTTATTTCTTTATAATAATAATAATATTTACATTGTCAGAAAAGCAAATAAGTAAAATAAAAAAAATATATTTGTAGACAATAAATTTACGTCAAGAAAATAATATCGAGACCGGAAAATATTGCAACAATCGTAGTATTTGATTTCGAATAATATGAGTGTATAATCTCTATGAATCCTCTGATTCTTTTTTCCAATAGTAAATAAATTCAAGGGCCTTTGAGCTTGATCTTGAATATATACTTGTTGCCACAAACGATGATCTTGAATTCAACTAGCACGAACTATGATTTGAATTCGTACTTCTTGAACCTTGATTTGTTCTTCGTTCTTGGGCTTGAACTTGAACTTGATTGTTTGACGCTTGAAACTTGTAGAGAAATTTGCGGCGTTTGATCCACGAGCTCTCTCTTGCTTCTTGTTATAACTTCTAGTGTCCTTTCTGAGTTATGAATACCCCTATTTATAGTTGTGGAAGGGAAGAGTTGTGATGAGAACAAACTCTTTCCGACCAATCAGATTGAAGAGTGACAAGACCGCATTTGATTGGCCAAAACATGTCACTTGCACATGTGGCACAGTTTTATTGGCCATTTAATTTGACTTGGCATGCCTTGTTATTTTGACACATGGTATGATCTTATTGGCTCTTCCGTTTGACTTGATGTACCACGTCTTTTGACATGTGGCACCAAACTGGCTTCTAGGAGGATGACATATTGGGCCTAATGAAGTGGATGCATCATTTGTAGCCCAATTAAATGGGCTAGCCCAATAGATTTGAACCTATTTCTTTAACCATATGTATTGGTAAAAATTACACGGGCCGCCCTATTTTGTCTCCCACTTTTTAATTTTTTTTAACTTGTACTCACTTTCTAAACAACTTCAGGTCTCTTTCTCGTCCTCCTTCTCCTCCTTCATTTTCTTCTTCTCTTTCTTCTTCTTCGACATAGCTGCTGTAATAGAAGTCTCAATATTTTGCACGATCCATCTTAGAAAAGAATTAGGCTTCTTTTTTCATGAAAAAGAATTAGTCCCACATGCTGTGATTGTGAGACAGAGAAGCTAATCTGAAATCTGGTTAATCTAATATCTACGATTATCATTTATAGAAATTTAGCAGCGAAAAAAAGAGAGGATTTACATGCATCACCATGGAGATCGAAAGACAACTGCCATGTGTCTGAAGTTCAGCAGCTAGCAAATTTCAATCCATCGCGTCTGAAGTGTGCCCATCACAGTGCAAACTTTAGACCTTGCGGTCTGAAGTTTCAACAACTTCAGACAATACAGATATGATATTAGGCTTGCATATAATTGAAGTTTTAACAACTTCAGACATGTATGTCTGAAGTTAATCTAGGCATATTGCTTGTGCAGTTCGAACTTTAGACATTTCGGACTGAAGTTACCTTGACATATTGCTTTGTGCAGTTCGAACTTCAGACATTTTGGACGGAAGTTAACCTCGGCATATTGCTTATGCAGTTCGAACTTCAGACATTTTGGACTGAAGTTAACCTTGGTTGCTTTGTGTAGTTCGAACTTCAGACATTTTGGACTGAAGTTAACCTTGGTTGCTTTGTGTAGTTCGAACTTCAGACATTTCGAATTGAACAAAAACTTCAGCCAAAACATGTTATAGTTTTATTGAACTGAAGTTTGTCATTGCACTATGAACTGAAGTTTGTGTGATTGTCTTTGCTACTTCAGGCTCGTATGTCTGAAGTTACGCGAAAAGTGGATATGCTTGCAAATTTTTTTTGCAAAGCGGGTATAAGTTAAAAGGTGGCCCAAAAATTGGGTATAGATACAAATGCCCCTATGTATTGGACTTAAATAATTAATTCAATTATATTATCCCATAATATTTATTTGGACTAATATATATTAAATTTAAAATATAATCCAAATTGCTTTGTTGTGATTCAAATTTAATAAAATTTAAATGCTTGCAAATGCCCCATACTTTAAGACTTGTCGGGTTGTAAATTTGTTGCATTTCCACGATGAGGCTTGAAGTATAATATCCTTCTTTCCAAGATCTCTTTTTGCTAGTCCATGCACATGCACTACTTAAGAGTAATTATTCCCAAGAGTTGTGTGGCATAACTTTCTTGCACGAGTATCATTGCTTATTCATGGGGATATACTGTCAAAGAACCATTTAAAAGTTTCTTGGACCTCCTTAACTATATTTTTTTAACCAAGAAGAGATCTTCTTTCTCAAATGTTTGACATTTTTCATTCAAAAAAATGACTTACTATTTAAGTATTCCATTCGTGTAAATATCACGAAGTATTTAATCATGGAGTGATTTTTCATGTGAAAAATTTAATGACCACAAACAAACTGGAGTACTACTTTTCCCTGTAGTCATGTGGGCCTCCACAAATTCTTTGACCATTTTGACTAAAATAAGTAGTGGTGACACCTCCACATCCTTTCAGTTGAACTAGGATACTTAATCGTTCTTGGACTCCTACAACTGCTACAGTTTGTATCACATTTGAACTTAAAGCACCTCCACTATTTATTTATAAATAGGGATCCGGTAGAAGGCTTAGAGCCCAAAAACGGTGTTACAAGGAGGGTTTGGATCTGCACTTGACGCTGGCAAGAGTTGAAGGTAATTTCTTCGTCTTTTTTTTCCAATTTTCGTCACTCTTTTACAGCCAGTATATCTTGTAGTATAAAATTGATATCTTACTGTAGAAAAGTCTAAATCACGGTCTATTTGATTCAATAGAAGCTATACTTTTAGTTCTAGAATATATCCGAAAATTAGAATTAGAATCTTCAGGGATCACCCTAGGCGATTTTTTAAAGTTAGCCTTAATTTCTGTCATGTTGATATTTTCAGATTTGTACGACTTCACCAAAAGTTTTATATATTGATGGGAAAAATACATAAGTTGGCACCCGAACAATGGACAAAATCTCTGTTACACACTCAACCTTTTAAAAGTGTGTCTAATACACCCCACTTTTTTCTTGACCACTTTACCTAAATATGGGTAATGTCACGCACCAATAAGGTCGTGACATGTGTCATTAACATAAATAAATAAAACAAAAAATATAAAATTACACATATACCCTCATCTTCTCCAATCCATCTCTTCCACCTCCATCTCCTCCTCCACGGACCACCCAAAAAATTAGAACACACAATTCAACCCAAAAATTAGGAGCCCAAGTGATTTAATCCCAGAAAGAAATAAAAACATCAAAAGCCAATAAGTCATGGCTCACACCACCATATCATCACCACAACAAGGTCATTATTAAAAAAAATGCAGCAATGGCAAAGGTAGATCGAAAATTACAACTGTTTGGGTACCATATCTATTGAAGCTTATCTACATCAACAAAGACATAAACGGGCTATTTCATTTATAGCTCTCTTCCAAAATTTTGTTTGTCATTTCTATGGCTGCCATCGCCACCACCAACTTTCAGAATAAAAAATTCAGCCTCTTCTTCAAAATAGATTGGAAGCTTGAGATTAATGCAAAATATGTATATTTAAGAGAAAATCAGAAAGAAAAAGAAAAAGAAGGGATTTGGTGGGGGGAGGTGTTGGCTGGCGGAAGAGAGAG